ACAGAGTTTCGCTCTTGTTACCCAGGCTGGAGTGCAATGGTGCGATCCCGGCTCACCGCAACCTCCGACTCCTGGGTTCAAGCAATTCTCCTGCCTCAGCCTCCTGAGTAGCTGGAACTACAGGCATGCGCCACCATGTCCAGCTAATTTTTGTATTTTTAGTAGAGACAGGATTTCACCATGTTGACCAAGATGGTCTCAATCTCTTGACCTCGTGATCCACCCACCTCGGCCTCCCAAAGTGCTGGGATTACAGGCATGAGCCACCGCGCCTGGCCGCCTTTAGAATTCTTAAATCTAAAGGCAACAGAATTACAGTTTGCAACATAAATTCTGATAGTCTTTGTTCCTTTCTGAGAAAATTTCATATTTCTGAAAAAAGTATTTCTTTGCAAAAGCTCATATTGAAAGTTTGAGCTAGAGTGCCCATAATTTAAATTCTAATTTATATACATGTATACATAGATATGCTCCCAGCTCCAATGAATTAATTATATATTTTGTTTATTGACTTTTTTTTTTTTGCCTCTTCCCCATTATTTTAAACAATGTGACCTTCATCTCCCCAAAATAATTCCTTCTTTCCATGTGTCTTACAGATGAGGTAAGATAGACATGTATTCCTTTTGAGTTGTTACAAGTGGTATTGAGAAGCTGGACCCATTTTTCATTTAAAAGTTTCTGATAATTCATAGCATCCTACCTCTGGGTCCTCAGCATCAATCTGGTTTAGGTGGATGTCTCCTGTTGTAAGCCACTGGAAAACAACATCCTAAATTAAAAAAAAAAAACAAAAAACACAAGACAGTTGGGTATTTGAAAAGAACTGAGGGTCAGGACTAGAAAATTAAATCAAGAAAAATGATAAATGAAAAAAGATTAAACCAATGATTCAGAAAAGGGTAGCTAGCCTTGTCATGATAAAATCATATGAGAACTCAAAGGTTTTCTTCAACCTAATGCAACTTTTTTTTTTTTTTGAGACAGAGTCTTGCTCTGTTGCCCAGGCTGGAGTTCAGTGGTGTGATCTTGGCTCAATGCAATCTCTGCCTCCCGGGTTCAGGTGATTCTCCTGTCTCAGCCTCTTAAGTAGCTGGGATTACAAGAACCTGCCACCACGCCTGCCTGATTTTTGTATTTTTAGCAGACGGAGTTTCACCATGTTGGTCAGGCTGGTCTTGAACTCCTGATCTTAGGTGATCTGCCCACCTTGGCCTCCCAAAGTCCCGGGATTACAGGCATGAGCCACCATGCCCATCATAATGCAACTTTTATTATCAGAAATTTATACTTTATATTTACGCACTCTAACCTCTAACCACAATCTAAAATTTATTAAAGCTTGTTCACAATCCTGAATTAATCTCTGTTTCCAACCCAAATGCCCATTGATGATAGACTGGACAGGGAAAATGTGGCACATATACACCATGGAATACTATGCAGCCATAAAACGATGAGTTCGTGTCCTTTGTAGGGACACGGATGAACCTGGAAACCATCATCCTCAGCAAACTGACACAGGAACAGAAAATCAAACACCACATGTTCCCACTCACAGGCAAGTGTTGAACAATGAGAACACATGGACACAGGGAGGGGAGCATCACACACTGAGGTCTGTTGTGGGGGAACAGGGGAGGGAGAGTAGGGGGTAGGGAGATGGGGAGGGATAACATGGGGAGAAATGCCAGATATAGGTGATGGGATGGAGGCAGCAAACCACATTGCCATGTATGTACCTATGCAACAATCCTGCATGTTCTTTATATGTACCCCAGAACCTAAAATGAAATAAAATAAATAAATAAATAAAGTAAAACTTTTAAAAAGCAGAATATCTAGGCAAGGTGTGGTGTCTCACACCTGTAATTTCAGCACTTTGGGAGGCTGAGGCAGGTGGATCACCTGAAGTCAGGAGTTCAAGACCAGCCTGGCCAACATGATGAAACCCCGTCTCTACTAAAAATATAAAAATCAGCCTGGTATGGTGGCAGGCACCTGTAATCCCAACTATTCAGGAGGCTGAGGCAGGAGAATCCCTTGAACCTGGGAGGTGGAGGTTGCAGTGACCCAAGATGTTGCCATTACACTCCAGCCTGGG